TTAGAAGAACCAGCTGAAAACCCAACAGATCATTCTTTGAAATGAGATCATATTTTGGAAGTACCAAAATTTTTCATTAACATCTAGAATATTTCCTTAGAAGTGTGTGTACAATAGGTGCCATAGTAGTTTGACTAAAGGTTTTGGCATTGTTGGTTACTTTTTTTTGTGAGGGAGGCAATAACCTTTTTATGTGGTGCGGTTCCTGTGGTAAGTAGACAGGACTTAAATTGGCATCTAGAACAAAAATATCACGGCTGTGGATGGGTTATTTGGCCATTAGTGCAGAGAACAAGTATCTGACCAAATTCGGGATGACGTTATTGCAAGGGATGTTAATTAATCACAGTGTTAAAGCATTTGAAATTGAAATCTCTGCCTGCCTTGCAGTGTCCAGTCTGCTGATGCTGAAGGTGCATTCATGCTAACATGGAAAGATGAACAAGCAGAAGCCCAGTCTGTTAGTATGCTTTCTGTAACAACATCTTAACTCCTCATGGCATTGATGATCCAATTCATAGAAAAGCCACAGAGTGACTTACCATCTTACTGTAATCAGAAAACTGGATAGCACTGCACAAGTAGAAAACATTGCATTAATTTATGTCCTCAAAGAGCACGTAAGGGTAGGTGACTTGGATGGTACTACCATTTGAAGGCAGCATAGGTTTGTCATTTGAACAATGACAAAGTAATGTTCTGAGATGCACCGATTCTTGTAATCTTTGAGAGAATTTGTTAGAAGTTCTGTTTTTTTCTTGTGTCTGTTTATTCTCGTGGTTCAAACTGCATGAAATAACTGAATTTTTTGTTAGGTATATCATGTTTTCATATGTTCTAAATCTCCATGTACTCATAAACTTTCTAATGAGAAAATGCCTTTATAGACCCTAACAATTAATTTCAAATGGTAGACTAAATACTTTGTGTTTTCTTTACATAGATTTAATGAAAACCTGACTGTGTTTTAAGGCGTGTTGTAGAAACTCCTTTGCCTTCAACATGTGCACATTATCTCTGTATCTCTTTAGCAAGATATGCACATGCATTATAGATAGGAGAATATCTCTAAAATCCCCAGGGTTTAACTAAGGACTTAAATATTTCAGCACATCTGGCTCATTTAGAGCTAATGCATTGAAGGGTGACTCATAAAGACCAGACTGCCGGGAGCTTGAGGTACCCCCGCAGGTAATCAAGCTTTGCATCTAATTGCACCTTCAAAGTTGCTTTAGCTATACATGTTGTACGTAAAAGGTGCGCTTGAGAAAGTATGCTGTGTGAAACTGGCTGGTTTCGTGCACGTTCCCACCTCGCTGAAT